TTTTCCATGGTTATTTCTTTCATGTTGAACTTTTTCATTAACATGTTTACTTCTAAAATCCTAAATTTAGAAGATAAAAAGCAAAAAATAGTGGAAATGTTTAATAGACGTTAACAACTCTTAAATGGTACTGACAGGGATTTATGTAAATGGAAATATTTCAGACAATAATTGCATAAAATTTCGGTGATATTATGTGTTTAATACAGGAAGTAATAGAAACATTCTAGTAGTTTTCGCAACTTGGAGCAAAGATTATTAATCTATAAGGGAGATTTAATGCAAAAGACAGGTACCTATAAACATATTGGAAAGCACCAAGTACTCTCAATTCATCATATGTTGCTCGCTTTCCTAACAATCTCAAAGCATCTGGGGCATGGACAGCTATTATGCATCCTTCATATGTTTCTTGGGAGTCATCTCCACATAATACAGCGCAACCTGTAATAAACCTTTACAATTACCAGTAGAACCATAAAAGGTTTCTGACACGAGAACAGTCTCAAGAAAAATGCCATGTCTGCCATATTTGTATGGTTTTAACAGATAGTTAATTGCAGAAGAGAAATCAAGTTACTCTCACCTTCAACAGCGCTCAAAACAGAATGTACCTCACAACCAGTTCTTATTTGACAACCTCTGCTCTCCAGCTCTTTTCTGATCTGATAACATTTTGCCAATAAGCAAACAGCAAAACAACATATTTTGAGCTTACAACTGATACATGCGACAATGAATTTGGATATTTTGAAGACAATTTATTTAAGCAGGAAAGTATAGTGCAATCTAAGAAGCGGAAATAAAAGGCAAACTAGCACCTTGTTGACATAATGATGTGAACGCCATCTAACAGTCATCCACTGTGGCCGTCCAAAGAGCTACAAAGATAGCCAAAGTAATATTATGAACTAATTGTCGAAAAAGTTTTATGATTACACAAACCAATATCACATGCATATTCTCACAAACACTTGTGATACTTCATTTATATAAGAATATACCTGAAGTAGATGATGGTTGCGGCAAAATGAAAGCATAGAGAAAGCTGAAAAGCCCATCACTCTTTCTGTAGGGCAGGACCATATTGAACCACATATCGGTACCTACAGAACTACAACATTGTCATTGCTATTTGCTACTAAGGTGACTTACAGTGAAACAAGTTGATTCTGACATAAAGAAAAGCACACTGAATGTAGAGAGTTTCCGATCTCACCAGATAAGCCTTCTGAAATAATTCAGAGTAACCCCGTGACTCAATGAATTGCCCCAATGTTTCATTGCGATCGATATCTGGGTTGTTCTCAAGCACTTCAAGATAACTGCACAAAAGTAAAAGATATGAAAATCAGAAGCGATCGGATGATCTAATATAGAAAGTTGAGATTCCACAATGACTAATGGAAGGTATCTCGTCATTGCTCACCTAATAACATCATCCTTGAACTTGATAATTTCTCTAAGCATTTGCCAAAAGTAAGGATTCAAGATGTTCATTTTCTGTGCAAACAAGCTAGACAAACCATTTCGGCTGCCCCATTCACAGCCTTTGCCTTCATCCAGGCTCACTGCGAAAGACATATCAGATGCCTCCATATCAACTCCAAGACTCTCAAAGAACCCCATCATATTTGGATATGTTACCTGCCAAAAATAATGGCCGAACAATAAAACACATATTGCATGAACATCCACTTATTATTATGAACCCATAGCTTAACAAAGAAAAAGTTTTAACTATATTCTCCTATATAGCAGAGTATTCTTTCCCACCATGGAAGACATTTTCCCATCTGTTCTTAATTTGACTTGGAAAAAGGCCTTGGAATCCAATATTATTGATCAAAATCTCTTACTTATTGACTCTGCCGTTAGAACACATAACAAAATAATTTCAGGCAGGAGCCATGATAATGATGAACAAAGGCTAAATTTCTTGATACCATACTTAAAGCATGCAATTGTTTTTCTTTTGGTCACTGGTTGGAGGTCATACCCCTTTAAATTCCATCCCAAACCTTATAAGTAATTACTCCCATTAAAATGGTAGATGAACATGAAATTCAAGGCTCAAGGTCTCTCAAATCTTTGGGACAGAATCTGTTGTTTGCTAAGACTACGTTCTTAATTCCCTAACTACTGTTACCTCGATATTAATTAGTATGAAGGAAATGACTTATAAATTCTTGATGAATTACAAATGGTGAGTGATGGGATGATTTTCGTAATATCAAATAACCAATCAGATAATATTCTCAAAAGAGAGATGCCAAGTAATTAAAACCTAAGCCAACCCAAGCCAGCCCCTCATGCTTTCTAAATTCTATACTGAAAATTATCAGTCCACACAACAAAGAATTAAGAAAAATAAATAAATTGAAAACTGTCAGACATAGGTTTCATAAATTATATAAAACTTATTAGCATGATCTTCTTTTTTTCTCCCTGTTGTTGCAGTTCTTATCCTGGTGTCTCATTAATATTTTGATTTTGGTCGAATGGGCATGGATGGGATGCTGTAATGCATTAGGCTCAGCCTGAAGACAAACTAGAAAAACATTTTTCTTTCTGCGTTCAAGCCTGAGCTTATACATTTATTGATTTGGGCCACTAATCTATAATTTTGTTAACAAACTACCAGAAAGAAAGACAAGAAAGGAGGCAACAATAGCCCCAAAACCCCCCTGATGTAAAGCTCCAACAAAATGGCATAGGCTTCAATACTGGGCAATCTGGCATTTTCCTTTGTGGCACCCACTGCTATTGATGTTATTATCAATATAAGATTCTATTGCCAACCTCACCAGACATCACCAAAAGAAAAATTTTGGACCAACCATCTAACAGAATTATCCAACCAAAGCTATTATTCTACATCTAACAGGAAAGTGACCATTCTCCCTCCCTCTTGTCTTGTCCTTTTCTTCTCCTTTTGTCCTCAGCTTGCATCCCCTTATACTCTCCTCTACTCTTATCTCCCCAATGGTAATATTTCTTTCTGCGCTCTTTTGTTGTCCCTTATTCAAAACTATATAATCTCTTGGAATTTAAAAACTACTGATATGGAGAATCTGAAACGTGGAAATTGCTTAACCATTAACCTTTTTAGGTACAAAAGATGAGTATTTGCAAGTTGCAACCATTTAAAACCAAACTTTCACGTGTGTTTTTTTCCAGCCGTAGAAGCAGTATTATTGTTGGGTCAAATGAATGATAGATGGCTATAACCCTAAACCCTATGCATGAAAACGAATTAAGTTCAAGAAAAGCAAAGAGTTCCTCTAGAAAATGGCGAAAACTGCAGAAAAAGATAAATTCGGCCGCCAGAACAATAAAGGCAGCTATACCAAGCATAGAGGCAAAGTATAAATACAACAAATACAAACTTACCAAACCCAAAAGAATGAAAAGTTAATTTCATGTACTTTTTTTTTTTAATTTTATAAAATGGTAATTAAGAACACGGTAACTGTTAAAAATAAGGAGAGAGAGAGAGAGAGAGAGAGAAATGTGCAACTTACACGATTAAAGACCATGAAACCAAGGTCTAAATCAACACCATCGAAGTTAACAGTCTTGGCATGGCCACCCAAGTAATCTTCCTTCTCATAAAGCACCACATTCACACCTGATTTGGCAAGAACATAGGCTGATACCAGTCCACTAATCCCACCTCCAATCACTGCTATCCTCATCTTTGACAGTAAATGCTCACAACCCTGCCAAATTCTTGCCCCGCATTTTTTAAGTTGGATTGCTGAAAAAGCTAAAGATAATGCAAGTTTATGACTGATGGTGAACTTCATGTTAAGTGAATTTGGTTGAAAACAAACCATGGAGGGAAGAGGAAAAATAAAAATGAATAACCCTTTTGAGGTACAGTGATGTTCCCTTTCTTGGGTAGATAATGCTGTCACTTTCAGATCTTTTACTGGTGCTCATAGAGCTTAGTTGCTGTTCTCAGTCTTGAGTGGTGACTTCATCTCTCAATCATCACTTCTTTGGAAAGCCATTTCTCGGGATGTTACTAACTACGAAATGTGTGTAGCTAACGGAAAGAGTATAAGAGACAAAGCAGGAAATCAAGATAATGCAAAGGTACCTGAAAAAGGGAAGTTCTCAAAGATCCAAGGATGGGCTCACTCCTTCAAAACTGGAGACACTGAACCAATTGCAACAAGCAGTTCACTCTCTTTTTTGTGTGTTTAAATGCAATATTTATGGAATACAAAGAGAGCAAGAAAAAGAGAAGAAAAAAGCCAAGAAACAAGTAGGCAAAAGGCCACAACTCTACCTACAGACTCTGAGGACTCTCAGAGATAAGCAATAGCTGCCTGCCACTTGCCAGTTTTCAGTAGATAAGCCAAAATAAAAGGTCTATTCGGATGACAAATGTGGTGCAGTTGAGTGTATATTATTAAAAAAAATCGAGTTTTTTTTATAAATTTAGAATATTTATAAGGTTAATAAAAATACATTTTATTGTCAACAAATTTTAAAAAATTGTAATATTATAAAAATAAGATATATATTGGGTGTTCAAAAAATAAAAAAAAAAATCATTTCAAGACCTTAAAAAGGAAAAATAGACAAAAATATGGAACAAAAGAAGTATAATTTTTACTAATTCTTTCTAATTTTCTTATTAGCGTAGTTTCCCTTAATTACCTTGCCTTGATTAACATTTGTTTCCCCGAAAACATCACATATTTGTTGTGTATGTAGCATTGTATCATCAATCATAATCTATACATTTTAAATAAATTTTTTCCTATTCTACACATCACATCTTTTTATATTTTAAAATTCGAACTCAAAAAAGAATTATACATTACACCATGCATTAATACTGTGTTTCAAACCAGACCCTCCAACCATTTTTGCCTTTATTATTATTTTATTATAGATAATAAGTGAGATTTCAGTAAGATTTTATATTCATTATAGGAAGAGATATTATCTATAAATTGTAAGATTGCCTAGATCTTCGAATCCGTGAAACCTGTGCCCCGTACTTGGGTCAACACCAAAGTTTAAATCTTAAAGCCAGAGGAAATATTTTCCCTTTTTTTGTTTTGTTGACAAAAAGGCCCCCAACGGGGAAAAGGACGGGTTAGGCCAGATGTAATTAAGATGCTGAGCAGGGGCGTTGGAGTCCACAAGTTTTGCTTGCTTATTTGCAGCTACCTTGCTAGCTACGTGGATCACTTGCGTACCTACACAGACGGGAGGGGGGCTAGTCGCTCCAACAATTTTAAAAATTTTATAATTTATTTTTATTTTTTTTAATTTTATAATTTCATTATTTATAAAAATTTTAAAACTTTTTAATATAATTTTTTATTTTAAATTTTATAGTTTTACTTTTACAGTAATTTTTTTATTTACTGAAATGTCCTACAACAATCAATTAAAAATTAATTTAAATAAAATTTATTATAATAAAATTATTTTTAAATCTTACTTCTCTAAAACATCTCGACCTTCTTCACTTATTTTTTATTTCTTTTAACCAAATTTTGTAAAAATAAAAAAATTTTTTTTTTTACATTTTTTAACTTACCAGCATTTTTTGTGTAAAAAACCTTTAATCAGTAACTTATTTTTCATTTAATTAGTTTGATTTATTTACTTATTTTTATTTTTAATATTTTTAATTTTAATTTTTTTATTTAATAATTTCTACTTTGTAATTTTGATTTAAAATTTATAGTCATTTTTCACTTGAAAGCAACAAAACAAAACATTGATTAAGCACCTAAAGTTAGTTATTATTTATTTATTTAGGGTTTACTTAATGGTTGTCCTACAAATTATTTGTGTTTTTTTTATTTAGATTCTTGTGAACAATTAAGTCTTTTATTCAAGATTGTTTCTTCATTTAATTATTTATTGATATTGCATTTAAGTTTTATGATTAATTTTAGAAAATTATTTCTCCATTAAATTGTTTATTAATAACCCTTAATATTTTTTAATAGATTGCTTTCTATTGAGATTTTTGTTATTATATTTGTTAATTTTAATTTGTTGTTAAGCTTTTATAGAAATTGGAATTATTTTTTATAATTGTATTAATTAATTTATTGAAATAAACTATTAAAATTGATTCCATTGAATAATTTTTAAGATTTATTTATATTATTTTTATATGAACTTTTTTTTTATATTTTTATCAAACATTGAACTTCTAATATAATTTTTTTTAAGATTTAAGAAAGGGGATTCAAACTTCTCTTTTTAAAATAAAAAATTATAAATTAACTAATAAATTAAATATTAAAATATTTTAATATAATTATTTTATAGACATTATTTTCTACTTTTCACCTTAATCACGAAGTCTTAACTCCACCGTTACTTATATGCTATTTTCTTATATTTTTCAAGCAATAGTAAGATATTTTAACTATTTCCTTACTGTTGAATGTTTCTTCTTTTTTCTACTCACAAAGAGACAATGGGGTCCTGACAGGGTTTTTCAATTGGTAAGTCCTTGTTTACTGGGCTAGAAGACAGCCACCACGTGATCTATTTCTGGGCTAACTCATGCATCCATGCAAAACCTCCTGACTAGCTAGCCTCAGGCTGGGAAACGATAGGAGGACGACTTAGTCAATGAATGGGCAATACGAGCAGGGCAAAGCCTGTAGCAGAGACCATTTTTCTGTCTGCCGAAGTAAGTGATGGGTAGATAGAGTCTTGTTATGGAAAAATCTGTCAACTGAAATGTCAGGATTTGGGAGATGATAGATTGTTTTCTTACGATAGAATAAAGCAGACCCAATGGTTCACACTTCAACAACTTCGGAGTCCATCGAATGTTTGGTTTCAGACATGCAACGGGTTACACAAATTTAGGAGTTGAAAAACCAAGCCGAAAAGAGTTACAGGGTTTTGGTTTAAAGTTCATGTTCTGTATCTAGAAGATAAAAGAAACTTATCCCTATATATATATATATTAAAGAAAATTAATAAGATAAAATGTCAATGAAAGAACTAATTCAAAAGAAGAATCAAATTAAAATGGACCTTAAATTGCAGTAAGAGAATTGCACCCCGGAATAGCATTTGGAATTTGCTATCTTAAGTGTCATTACCACCCGATCTTTCCTCATTTTCTTTCGCACTACAACGTTGGCATACCCATCAAACCAGCAATGTTTTTTTCTCTCTTTCCTCAGCACAAAAATGCTGTCATCTTAACCAACAAAATCTCTGGTTTTTTCTCTCTCTCTTTATAAAAAGAAATGCAATCCTTCTTCCATCCATTCTCTTGCCCGTCGGAGACTCTGACTTAAATTTTTGGCCGGTTACTGAGTCCCCTCCCCTCCCCCCCCACCCCCATTCCCCAACCCCTTTCAGCCATGGCCCACCAATCCCGCCGGGAGTTCTTCTCCGGTCCCCTCCATGGCACGACCACCACCAACAGCTCCAACTCTAATGAGAATAATATGGACCTAGCATGGCCATTTGGTAAGCTTGAAGGTCTTGACCGTGATGACATCCGTGAAACAGCCTACGAAATATTCTTCACAGCTTGCCGTTCATCACCAGGTTTTGGAGGTCGAAATGCTTTAACATTTTACTCTTCACATGATCATGGAAATGGTGCAGATGGAGGAAACGGGTCCGGACCCGGGCCAGGGTCACCGAGCGGGCGGGTCTATGGGGTGGTGATGACCCCTACGAGTAGGGTTAAAAGGGCCTTGGGATTAAAGATGTTGAAAAGATCACCTTCCAGGAGGATGTCAATGTCTTCGGTGGGTCTTAGCAGCGGTGGTGGTGGAGGGTCCACGCCATCATCGCCGGTTTCTCATGGACATGGTGGTTCTGGTTCTAGCCCTGGAACGGGCGGTTCCACGTTGCCAGCGTCGAGACCGAGGCGGCCTTTAACTTCGGCGGAGATTATGAGACAGCAAATGAGGGTGACAGAACAGAGTGATAGTAGGCTTAGGAAGACTCTCATGCGAACCCTTGTTGGCCAAGTACGTATATCAACATTACTAGTACAACGCATGTCAATTTTAATTGCTTGTTAAAAATAATAATATTGAATAACATAACGAAATAATAATCTAATGATAGTCATATTTTATTTTAAAAATTGAGATGTTAAATTTGATTCATCTCCCAACTAAGCAATTTTGGCTTAGTTGCTAAAACAATTTTGGCTTCAACAGATGGGTAGGAGATCAGAGACTATCATCCTTCCGCTTGAGCTTCTTCGGCACTTAAAACCATCCGAATTCAATGACTCGCACGAGTACCATCTTTGGCAAAAGCGTCAGCTCAAAGTCCTGGAAGCAGGCCTCCTCCTCCACCCATCAATCCCCGTAGACAAATCAAACTCTTTCCTGATGCGTATGCGCGACATAATCCGAGCCAGCGAGTCCAAGCCTATAGACACCGGCAAGAACTCCGACACGATGAGAACATTGTGCAACAGTGTTGTTTCCTTATCCTGGCGAAGTGCCAACGGCACTACTACTGACGTGTGCCATTGGGCTGATGGGTTCCCTCTTAACATTCACATCTACACTTCTCTCCTTCAGGCCATATTTGATGTTAGGGATGAGACGCTAGTCCTTGATGAGGTTGATGAGTTGCTAGAATTGATGAAGAAGACGTGGTCTACTTTGGGGATCAATAGGCAAATTCACAATGCTTGTTTCACTTGGGTGCTTTTTCAGCAATATGTTGCCACCAACCAGATGGAGCCCGATCTTCTTTCTGCTGCGTATGCTATGTTGGCAGAGGTGGCAAATGATGCTAGAAAGCCAGATAGAGAGGCAGCGTATATGAAACTATTGTCTTCCATGTTAGTTTCGATGCAGAATTGGGCAGAGAAAAGGTTATCTCACTACCATGATTATTTCAACAGAGGAAATATTGGTGGGATTGAAAATCTTTTACCTCTGGCATTATCAGCAACAAAGATTTTAGGTGAAGATGTTACAATCATGGAAGGGGAAGGGAGCAAGAAAGGGGACACATTGCTTGTGGATTCAACCAGTGACCGTGTAGATCATTACATTCGATCTTCAGTGAAACACGCATTTCAAAAGGTGAGCACTATACATATAGCAACTATATCTTATTTTCAAATACTCATCTGTTGGCATAAGTTTTGTTTAATTCTTCCTCCTTCTTTGATTGCTGTAGATAATAGAAAATGAAAGTGTCAAAAATGCAACTAAGGGAGAAAGAGAAGAAGCTAGTGAAGCTCTACTTCAATTGGCTAAGGAAACTGAGGATTTGGCTGCTAGAGAGAGGGAGTTATTTAGTCCCATATTGAAGAGATGGCATCCGATTGCAGCTGGAGTTGCAGCAGTGACACTGCACCAATGCTATGGAGCAGTGTTGAAGCAATATTTAGCTGGGACAAGTATGCTGAACACTGAGATAGTTGGGGTACTACAAAGAGCTGCAAAACTAGAAAAGGTTTTGGTTCAAATGGTGGTCGAAGATTCCGAAGAGTGTGAAGATGGAGGCAAAGGAATTGTCAGAGAAATGATGCCATATGAAGTTGATTCAATCATATTGAAACTCTTGAGACAATGGATAGAAGAAAGACTAAAGAAAGGGAAAGAGTTGCTTTGTAGAGCAAAAGAAACTGAAGTCCGTAAATCTTTTTCTTTTTTCGTTTTAAAGTTTACCAAGTAAAAAAAAAAAGAAATAATATATGATTGAACTTAATTACTAATTGGTTGCAATTTATTGTTGCAGACTTGGAACCCTAAGTCCAAATCTGAGCCATATGCACAGTCAGCTGTGGAGCTAATGAAATCGGCCAAGGAAACAGTGAATGAATTCTTCGAAATTCCAATTGGAATTACAGATGATTTGGTTCTTGATCTAGCTGAAGGTTTAGAGCAGCTCTTCCAAGAATACACTACCTTCGTAGCATCATGTGGTGAGAACCATCTGCTTCATACACCATTTTAAGCTTGCTCGTTTACATGGAAAACTTGAAATCGTCCCGCAGCAAGTCAATGTCGTGTGGGCAGAATACCTTTCTCATTTCTTTTGTCACATTCTTTTCAGGGTCAAAACAGAGTTATCTCCCCACACTTCCTCCTCTAACCAGATGCAACCGAGATTCAAAGTTCTTCAAACTCTGGAAAAAGGCTACTCCTTGCAGTGTTGGAGTAGAAGGGATGCACCGCATTATGACTTTAGAAGGTCACCATCCTCGCCCATCAACAAGCCGTGGGACACAGCGGCTCTACATCCGCCTTAATACCTTGCACTATCTAATTTCTCACCTCCATTCCCTTGATAAAACCCTCACCCTCTCACCGAGAGTCTCAACACGGAACCGTTTCAGCAGCAGCCGCAGGCACCATGGTACTTCAACTTCATATTTTGAACATGTTAATGGAGCCATTCAATCTGCCTGTGATCATGTATCAGAAGTTGCTGCTTACCGCCTTATCTTCCTCGACTCAAATTCTGTTTTCTATGAGAGCCTTTATGTTGGTGATGTAACCAACGCGAGAATTAGACCTGCAATCAGAATTCTAAAGCAGAACCTCACACTTCTTACAGCAATACTCACAGACCGGGCTCAAGCATTAGCAATGAAGGAAGCTATGAAAGCAGCTTTTGAAGCCTTCCTTATGGTTTTGCTCGCTGGGGGACCTTCCAGGATCTTCCACCGGTCTGATCATGAGATGATTGAGGAGGACTTTGACAGCTTGAAGAGGGTGTTTTGCACTTGTGGAGAAGGCTTGATATCCGAGGATGTGGTCCAGAGGGAGGCTGAGGCAGTTGAAGGGGTGATAACATTGATGGGTCAATGCGCTGAACAACTGATGGAAGATTTCAGCATTATCACTTGTGAAACGAGCGGAATAGGTCTCATAGGCACAGGGCAAAAGCTACCTATGCCACCGACAACAGGGAGGTGGAACAGAGCGGATCCAAACACTATACTAAGGGTGTTGTGCCATAGGAACGACCGGGCGGCGAATCTGTTCTTGAAGAAGTCATTTCAATTGGCAAAAAGGAAATGAATGGAAGAGGCCAATGTAGACATCGCATATGTGAAGCAGAGATTTTGTGTTTTCTAGCATTGATTTCTATTGATGAAAACTGTACTCAAAGTTGAAGGAAATCTCAAGGGGGCCCATTGTATTGAATTTGGTTTAACTTAAAATGTTATATCAAAATCTTGCTGGGGGGTGGAGAGAGGAATTGTACAATATTTCTTTTATTTCATTTTAACTGTTTATAGCATTAGGCATTTTCAATTTTTTATGGATCATGAGGGGATCAATTCATCAGAGTAAGAGTGAATATGTGAAACCATCGTATCTTTCCTCCTTCCCTTAATTTGTTCTACCTTACCTTGGACCTTGAACTCCTTTTTCTCTAAAAAGATAACCTTATCTCCACACTTTTACATTTCTTCACATAATTATTCCTTTCTTTTCCTTTCAAGAATAGAAAACATTGTATTCTTTCTAGTCATTAGCAAAGGTTTATAATGCTACATCAATAATGCAGGCCCCAAAGAGTACTCTGTCAAAGCCCTGAATGATCAAATGTTTCACTTTCAAAAGTTGAATTTCAGCTCCGGCATCCCTATGGACAAGGGCTACATTATCCAACCTGTTCCATCAACCTATGCCCTTGACTCTTCTTGGTTTGATGCCTTCAATCTCATCACCTTCAGTTCTTCTGTAAGCGCATGCAATGAATCTGAAACTTCAGCCTTGTAGACATAGAACTTTATTACTACCAAGAAGAAAATGAAGTTCAAGAAGTTGAGTATTGCAAAGAATGCATAGTAGTAGTCAAGATGAGATTTGTTTAGGTTATTTAAGATCCATCCTTCGTGACCATGCTTTTTGGTGATATCAGCAACTGTAGAAAGAAGGAAGCTGCTGAGAAAATTTCCAATTCCCAGACTAGTGGTTGAATATGAAGTACCAAGACTCTTCATGCTTTCCGGTGCCTGATCATAGAAGAACTCAATCTTGGCCACCTCCAAAAATGCATCAGCTGTTCCCATAAGCACAAATTGGGGAAGTAAAATGAATATAGTTAGTGGAAGTTGTCCTCCATTTTCAACTAAGCCATGCTCCCTGGCCACGCTGAGTCTGTGCCTTTCAATAAGAGAAGCAGTTATCATGATTATGATGTGAAGAACCAGACCGATTCCCATTCTTTGAAGTAGAGTAATGCCTCTAGGATTTTTAGTCCACTTTTTCATAATTGGGACGAAGAATCGATCATAGAGGACAACACTAATAAGCATAGATATTGTCACAAATCCAGCTAAACTTGCAGGGGGGATCTTGAAACTGCCCAAGTGTCTATCAAGGGTGGTGCCCTGTTTTACAAAGAGCGTATGGATCTGAGCGATCATGGTGCTTGGCACAAAAGTGGCAACCAATACTGGGATCATTCTTAACATTTGTTTAGTTTCCTCTACTTGGGTTACTGAGCATAGCATCCATGGATCTGTGGGGCCTGTTTTGACAGCAGCCTTACTCAGGAACCTACATTTTATGCACGAAGTTGAATATATGATGATAAGAGACCAGTGATGGAAAATTTCAGATTCCATAATATGTTAAAATAATATAAACTAACCTCAGGGTGGGTGTTGAATCAATCCTGAACTTTCCTTTCTTAGCATACTCTTCCAGGTCAAGTTCGTATAGTTCTTTAGGGTCACCAGGAAGAGGCACTTTCCATTTCCTTATGGCAGCCACTATGACAGTGGCCATCCTTGTGAAAGGACTCCCAGCGGGCACCCTGTGCCTGTAGAAGGGCGTGCCTGCCAGGAAAATCAGAACTGAAATCACGAGCCCAAGCGTGGGCAGCCCATAGCCTAATGCCCATCCCACATTATCCTGAATGTAGACAAGAACTGTGTTGGCAAAGAGTGTCCCAAAGAAGATGCTGAACATCCACCAATTGAAGAAGGACAGCTTCTGAGCCTTCTCCCTGTGATGGAAATCGTCAAATTGGTCGGCGCCGATGGTCGAAATGTTTGGCTTGGTGCCACCGGTTCCTACAGCTAGAGTATAGAGTGCACCAAAGAACACCGCTAACTGTAACGTTGACGCCTTCTTGCAATCATCTACATTGGCTTGGTGACAGGGTGGTGGTTTTAGGCCATGGACTGACACTGATAGCGTTAGCAATGACATTCCCTGTGACCAACAATTGAATTAGCACTTTTAGATCTTATCCTTATACAAATATTAGATTTAAATCTTAATTTCATACCTCATTCCTCGACAGATTTAGGTAACCAACTGAGTTGAATAAGAAGAATCTTAATGTTAATTCGCAACTAGGCTTATCTATTACCTCGGGCATATACCAAAGTTTCAATGGTCCACTCTCTACAAACGCCCATGCGTACCCAACAATTAAGGAACATATACAAAAGTCCCAGTTGCTCTTTTGTTTTTATCCCTATCCAAAGTAGGTTGATAGACTTAGCAGACTCAGATGCTTCCAAGAAAATTAGACAAGAAAATTTCTAGACTGCTAGACGGGACAACCTTCAAGTTGTAGCACAGGAATCCGTGGTCCACCTGACAAATTTGTCATAGTTTTCCTACCAATATACAGCGTAAGAGTCATCGTCTACTGCCATATAATTAGAACATAGAAAAATTTGAGTCAATGTTTCACATTTTGTTGACGTTTGAATGCAAATTATTCGCAATTTGACTGTAATCTACCGTTTTAGTCAGTAACTATCCTTGACTCACAACTTCAAACCATTTACACCACAGCAACTTAATTTCAGATGATCCATTAGTACTATATATCCAATAACAATTTGATTGACTTAGTCAAACTCTAAAACTCTGAATTTTGTTTTGATTGCAGATAAGATCGATTATAAGTCATGTCAGTATATGTCACTTTCATTCAAATTATGTCACGTAATTCCTTTAAAAAAAATCAAAGATCATTAATAACTAGTTGTTAAAATAAATATTCACTATTTATTAATCAATTTCAAGAACATAATTATATGATATAATTTTAACAAAAATGATATATATTAACGTGGTGTAGCACCACCGATTCATGAAATTTTTTTTTCAATTAAAATTATGCTTCAATCATTATATATTTAGTTCAATAATAATTATATCTATCCCTTTATTCAAAAAGTACTCAAAATACGTCTTAACATTTAAAACTTCGTTTTATAAGTCTTAAGTTTGAATTTTTAGTGTGAAATACGTACCAAAATCTATAGTTACCTAATAGAGTAAATAATTATATTTGTTTCATGTGAACGTAGATAAGACTTATAAATATGTATGCATGCAAGTATATACATGTGACATGACATGTGAAAATTAAGATATGGCCCCTTATGGTAACAACATGTGCGCAAACAAAAATATCTTAAAAGATATAAGTAGGACCCGATTACTGTAATGTCAATTAGACAAACTCTTTTATCTTTTTCCCAAGCAAAGCTCGTGATTTGTTGAATAGTTTGGTTATCAGTCATGGTACATATGGGATTGACAATTCGAGAACATACCGAGATATAAACTGCAGAAGCAATGACAAAAGTCCAGTAGCGTCCAAGGTGAGCATCTGCCACGTAGGCGCCCAAGATTGGAGTCATCCAAATGGTACCGACCCAATTGGTAACATTGTTGGCCGACTTGACAGTGCCTTGATGGAGCTTCCTCGTCAGGTAGAGAACAAGGTTCGAGGATATGCCGTAGTAGGCCATGCGTTCAAAGATCTCATACACTGAAAAGGAAAAAAGGGAAGATGTGTTTTGTCCTAATTAGCTGCGGCCGGCGCTGGGAATGTATGTACAGTGTGTGGTTGTCTTGCCTAGCATGATGATGATTATTATTTTGGTTGGTTTGGGTTGCTTTTTTGGATGTTCATGGTGGAGACGTGCATGGGGACCACGGAAATACTGGGAAAATCTTTTAACTTTGGAAAATCGTCTGTAATAATTGACCAGGAGCATTGTTTCTAACTATAGAAGATTCAGTTTTCGAAACCCCGTTTAACTCCTTAAGACCAAGTAGGAAGCCAGTAACCGCCTGATATTGTTTACTTTTATAGTATATCATTTTGAAAAGTGAGCACTGACAAGTCCAAGTATATGTTGAAATACAAGGACATGGCATGCATGATGCCCTGGTCGACTATAACGAGAAGAGAGAGAGAGTGGGGGAAGGAGAGAAGGGTGTTGATGACGCTGGTGGGAGACTTAAATATGGGGAGATGAGACATTAAAATTGGCAGGGTACAGATCTTTGTCAAATATTGGTGGAAAACTGAATTAAATCAGAAGCTTCAGAAAGAAATGCCGAGTAGGTATAGAGTAGGAAGCTTCTTTCATTACAGTTGGCAGTTGAACCAAATCAAAGCTTATGGAACTCCATAATTTGGGTTCACAAGCTAGACCGACCCTCTTGTTTGAATGATCGAACCAAGATCATTTTCTTCATCCTGAAAGAAAAGAGAATCCACCGAAAAGAGAACAAGTAGAGAGAGACAAGTGTTCTGAAAAGTTATACAGGGAAATGGTTCATCCATGCGACAACAAGAGCAAAATTAAGGGATTTGGTCCCATAACAAAAGTTTTCTTAAAGTTGAGATGGGCAGTGTGCCCTTAAAAGAGGAACTGAAAAGGGGAATTAGAAAAAGACAAGGGAAAAAGTGAGCAAGTTACCAACAACAAAGGAGCAAGCAGTCCATCCGCCTCTCTTTGATCTGCGAACTGGGTTCCCTTTAAGGTCCACAGTGCCATCTTGGGTGTAATCATCTATCCCTTCTTCGACAGCCATTAAAGCCAACCTAGCTAGCTTCTTATTCTTCTTCTTTGAAAGAACTTGTCTCTATTCACTCTTTCTACGCTTACACTTGCGAAGAGGAACCACTCCTTTATAGACCACCAAAGTCAGGAAAGATCCTGCCTCATAGATATACAATTACCACCTTGCCACTTATATTATTAATCGCATTTTGCTTCAGCTGTATATTGACTAGGGTGTGTCATTTTCTTCCAGAAAAACAATGACCCTGTTGTACATCCACCCTCCAAAAGTATTTCATACACAATTCCGTGAGATTCAAACTTATTTTAAAAATGCATATTTTCAACCAATATCGACTTAAAATTAAAGTCGTGACTTTCATGATAATTAATATTTATTTTTTATTTATCTAATTAATTTTGAATTTTCAAAACTATTGGGGTTTAACTTAGGTCCAAACGTCAGTAAAGAAGTCTACTTATATTTAGAGAAAAACAAGACATGATTATTAATATGGTCTCCAGAAAAAACATATAATAATAATAATAATAATAATAATAATAGAAGTATAGTCTATGCAAATGGTCATTACAAGACAAGCCGAAGTCTTATTTTAAGTAGATGGCGTAATTCAACGTTTGCTAACCAAGAATGTCACTCTCTCAGTGAATTATTCTAATTTTTATGTATATATATTCTTGTAATTTTCTTCAAAATTATAATACTATTATTTTACAATGTTTCAATTGTTATTTCCACCAAATATAAATTTATTTCAGATAAATTAATTTTATTGTGTGAACCGTAAATTTGCAAATTTATCTTTTTCTTATTAAAAAAAGTGATTGAATTTTGACGTAAAACTGAATCTTTTTTTTTAAACTAAAGAGTGACTGTCATCAAATTATATTTTTCTGGATAAACCTAACTTATAATTTAAGAAATATTATTTAATTTTTGAGGGGCAGGGAATGCAGAAATATAATCAATTTGATTAATTTAAAATAACTCAATTAAAAAGTGTCAATAAATGACATCAGATGTATTAGTTTTTCTTTGCATCTATATTGCTAGTTAGATCTCAATTAAAATTAGGGTAGAGAGTAGGACAAAAGCCAAAAGATATACAATCACATCATTATGGAACTAACTCAAATTTAAATAAATCCTCCCTTCCTAATTTAACTATGAACTTACTTTTAATAGTTTCTTCCCCCAACTTGAATATTCAAGTCAATTATTAGTATCTGAAAACTAGTGTTGTTACATGGTTCAATTATTTGTTAGTTTTTGACAAAAAAAGTAAAGGACAAGAAAATCAGGAAAAAAAGGGGCTTGTATAATTTCTTTGGTGTGGGGTAGAAGACGAAAAGAACCTAAGAAGTTAATTACTTTGGGTCCAATAGTCAACTTTATTATAAAGCAACATTGGCTTTGCCAGTGTGGACCATTCTAAGGGGAGATGCCTAGGAATCTTGAATTTTTATTTATTATTATTATTATTTTTCATCATTGACCAGTTACCGAAGAATCAATGAATATGATCACCAAACTTTTACGCCATTTATAACATTAATTACCCACTCCTCTAAAAATTAATAAGTTTGGGATCGAATTAGAATCTTTTAGAGTCATTTTTCTTCGTTAAAGTTTGTTAATGTCTTCTAGAAACACATGATATAAGACAAATACTTACGTCTTTTATGGAAGAACATGATCTCCACATTAAAACTTGAGAGATTAAATTGTAGATATATATTGACTCCGCATTTCGAAAATAAATATTTAATAAACATTAATAGTATGAAATCGTATTATATAGTTATTAAATATATTTATATATGAGTTTTAGGCATTTGACATAATTAATTAATCATGTCGTATTTATATTTATTTATACAAAATATTATTAAAATATGAATTTTCAAATTTAAACACAAGTACTACCAGGGCTATAAGCAGGAATTTCTAATATCTCTAAGTTAACCATTTTGTTAAATTCCAATAGATTACATTTTTTTTTGTTATTTTTAGTCTTTTAAATCCAATGGCATGCTATGAATCTAGGAAAGGAGTAGTAATAAAATCACAAGCACAATAACATTGTTTATTAATGTTGCATAACAGCTGTTCAATGAACATGCTTGTCAATGACTTAATGATCATAAATGTTATTTGATGAAAGTTTTAAATGAATTTCGATACATTGAAAATTTGCCTTAATCGCCTGGCTGTCCATGCTGCTATAGTATATAATTTCACCAACTGCTATATAATTGAAGCAAGCATCTTATTTATTATAATTTATAAGCATCATTATATATATATATATAAATATATATTAATTTGAGGTAAAGGGTATAACGTTTTGAATAGAGAAATAGATACATTTATGCTTGAGTTGAATATTCAAAAGTATTATGTATTAAGCAATATCGTTAAGTTGATATAATAGAGGAATTAATCAAAACATGTGGGGAGATTTTGTCAAACGAAAATTACTTATGATGTAAGTTGAGCTCATCACTTCTGGATGGTTAAATCATATTTGATGTTTACCCAAACATATATCTAAAATTTGAACCTAAGTTTGATCCATATGGAAAATTATTCCCACACGATTTATTCCTCTAATTTCATATTCTTTTTTTTTTATTGATTTGAATGTTGAAAGTTGATCAAATTAATTAATTAACCTCCGCCAAACTGTTAGGTGTTAACTGAATAACAACAACATTTTTGTCTTCTCGGAGATGTTGAGCACACGAATTAATTAATTAATTTCCATTGAATACTAGTTCTTAATTATTTTCTCTGGATAAATTTTAGAGTCTTGAAATTAACATAAAGTGAGATGTATTATTTTTTTAGTTATTAGGTTTCTAAGGAAAAACCCTAGATAAGGTACTGACTCTCCGAATTAGCATAAAACGTATCGAATCTTATAAAAAAGTCATACATTCAAAATTAAAGCCATCAAATGGATAATTATAAGATTTGGACCCTAGATTTAATTAGTCCAAAAAGTTGGAGAACACGTTATACAACATTTTGAATGTTTTAGGGTCGTAAAATATAGACCCATTCAAGAGATTCTTTAAAAATTTATTCTAATGAAACTTTACAAAGTTTTATCCTAACCCAAAGGACTAATAATATTTATGAAATTTTTTAAAATTAAAAAATCCTTAAAAAGGTGGAAACTACTAGAAGGTCATAATTAAAGATATTTTCACGTGTGTGGAATATTTATAATAATTTATTTAAATAAGTTATATATATATTCTCATTAATTGTGTCTAAAATAATACATATTCTAAATGAGTGGGTGACACTTTTTTAATAAATTGTTATTTTCATTGTCTCTATCTAAAAATCATTTCAAGCTTTTGCAAATTGGTTTCGAGAAAGAGAGAGGGCTGTTTCATCTAAAAGTCTGGTTTCTTGCCCTAATTTTCATTTTTTATTTAGAATTTAAAGTCTGGAGTTTTAGGGTTTAGGGCTCTATTCAATTTTCCGAATCTAAATTATTGTTGTACCTACTTTAAATTTACCTTTAGCTACTAATAAAAGGAAAAAAAGGGTAAATTTCATTTATGGTCCCTAACTTTTTATTTTACTTTCATATTGTTCTATAATTTTTAAATTATTTCATTGGAACCCCTAACTTCTTAAAACGATTTTTCAATTTGGTCCTAATTTCATCAATTTTTTTTTTAATGTTATAGATTACATGACACATCGCATGGACATTTATTTAACATTAAACATGGATAATACTCTCAGTTATTAATGAAATAACTTAATCATAGCTTCAAAATGAAACTATTAAACAATTCAAACTTTAAGAATTAAATCAAAGCTACAATAAAAGATTACAGACCATGAATGAAATTTTACCCAATCAAGAGCTTAATTTCGAAAGAAGACCAAGATCATTTCATACCATATCCAAATTCATTTGAAAACAAACACTAATTGGATTTCATCATGAAGATCTTCGAATATACGTTTGCCTCACCTAAAATCCACCAAAGCATGAAAATAATAACAAGAGGAATGACGTTTGTGAAATTGGCAATGAGACAAGTGGGATGGATGAAAAATGGAGAAGGGTCCATTGCATCCTACTCAACCTTGTCTTTTCGTATTTGTACCAATACCATTTTGTCAAACAAAAAATAAATGATTTAACATCAAAAGACAAGGACGATTAAAATCACTAGCGACCGTAAAAGAAGAAATTTTTCGTCTGAAACCATTGAATGCAAGAGTTTTGGACATCTCATCAATTTGTTCTTTATGTATATGTCTTTGCTGTTACATCTTTGTATATAAATAAAGTTGTAAGAAAATCATTTTCTTGTTCAATCATGTGATGTTTGAAAAATTCTTAATAAATTTTTTAATTAAAAAAATGAATGATACCATTAAATATTAGAAATATATATATATATATATATATATACACACAGGCAGAGGATGCCCTCCCTAAATTTTTAAAATTTAATAAATTCTCTTTATTTTTTTTAAATTTTATAATTTTATTTTTAATTTTTTACAAAAATTTATAACTTCGTCCCTACAAACATTAAATTTTTTATTTTGCCCATCAAACATAATATTTTGATTCCTTCACTGAGTATATATATATATATATATTGGAATTGTAAAGGATAGGGACTTTAAAAGGGAATAAATAGGAAAAAAAATCAATGTATGCTAAGAAATATGATAGGGTTATGCCATGATTAAAAGAAAGGTCTGGGAGCGTATGAAGAGAGATGTTGGACTTCATTAGTTTAATGAATGTGAATGTTTGCAATCTCTTGGCATAGGGTGATAAAGGCGATAAGGTGGAATGTAGAGCATTCAATTTCGTGGAGATATATATATACGCTTTTCCGTTTGGCAACTGCATCTTATAAGAGCATTGAAGGAACCAACAAGGGCAAGGTTAAGAAAAATGTAATTCTTAAGCTGGATATCAGATGAAAATTGAAGATTTCTGTTGGATTTTCGGATCAGGATCATTGCCTGGTTATAAGTATGGGCTGAGATGCTCAATAGCCCTTCACAATGGGTCAGGACGTGTTATACTAGGAGCTGCTTTTTTGGGTGCAAACGTGGGCTAACAATGCTAACTAAAGCTCAACATTGAGCTATAATGGAAAAACCCAGTTTATCATCGACGCTCACTCGTGACATGAAAATGATAAAGAATTTGGTTTTTGTGTTTTGTTTTTAATGCTTGAAGAGCTGGAGGAGAATGACAACACATCCACTTGGAAACTAGACTGAGGAGTTCCTTTCTTCCTTTCCCCTATATTTCCAGAAACAGAATCCTAAGCACATAAAAATGGAAGACAGCCAGACCAAAGCCAACGTCACCCGCCGCCTCCAAATCATAAAGCTAAGATCAGGCAAAACCTTCAATCAAATAGCAAAGGAAACCGGGTTAACCAATGTCTACGTAGCTCAGCTCTTTAAACGCCAGGCTCAGCTCAAGCCTGAAACCGCCCCTAAGCTACGGGATGCCTTGCCTGACCTGCCGGAGGAGCTTCTCGATGAGATGATGAAGCCACCCTTGCGGTCCTATGATCCTAACCTTACCCAAGAACCTACTGTTTGCAGGTTCTTTTTCTTACCTAATTCATATAAAATAAAATAAAAAAAGGAGGATTTTTTTTTTAATACCCAAGTTTTGTTTTTTTTCCCCTGAAGGTTGAATGAGGCAGTCATGCATTTTGGTGAAAGTATAAAGGAGATTATCAATGAAGAGTTTGGTGATGGCATGTAAGTTATTCTTTTTGTTAGTTTATAGTCAAATTTTTGTTAGGATTTACATTTGCTAACTCAATAGTAAAATGGCATTGGAAAAGGTAGGGACTTGTATAATTCTTGTTTTTGAAAAGCAAAATACACACACACACACACACACACAAAAGTCCCAAGAAGTAAGGCTTAAGTTTTTGTGGTTTTAAGTGGTTGCTTTTGGGCAATTTAGTGCTATTCATTTCTTTTGGTTGTTTGGATTTGAGCTAATTAGTGACAATATTGATTTTAGCGTTTGGAACTTGTATTGAATTTGAATGTAGATATAGAAACTGATTTCCGATTGTTTGCTTAAGTTTAAAGTTCTTGTGCCTTGGTTATGAATCGGTATAGGTTATGGCAGTTGAATTATAGCAGTGCATATTAGAACAGGAATTAAAGACAGGACGAGGGACTCAATTTAAAATGGTTCTGCTAGTTGGAACAATGAATGAGAAAAGAAATTGATTTTGGTTTGAAGTAATACACATTAGATACACTTTGAAGTAGTAAAAATTGGGTTTTGTTTTAAACATGGAAAGATTCGCAAGTTAGGGCAAAGCGATTTGAATTTTCATCCATTCGCTAATTTATGTTCCTCTTTTTTTAGCATGTCAGCTATAGATTTCTACTGCTCTGTTGATAAAGTTAAAGGTGTCGACGGGAAAGAACGTGTTGTTGTGACATTTGATGGAAAATACTTGCCTTATACTGAGCAGGTTAGTTGCCTTTGGTTTGCTTTGCTTTGTTTCATGATGAAAAAAAGGTCTCCCCGTTGTTTCTTGTTGATATGGAATGCACATGATAGGGTCTAAGACAACAACTAGTGGTGAATGTAGATGTAGGATTCAACTTTCATCTTTTTAGTTTATCTTGATAGATTTCAAGGAAAGTGACCACCACCATGACACAGGGACTTCGGCAACATATTTCATATATGGTTCAGAATCTTGTATTTGCCCCTGGCACAGAGATGAAACCCTCATTGCTGCTAAATTTCTTTCACCATTAGTGGAAATTCTGCTGGGATTATCCCAGTCTATAATTTAACTTGTCTGATTAATAAACCTTTGCTTTATGCATGTGAACTGACATACACTTACTTAAACTTCCTTTCTCATGGCAGAAGACAGAGCATATGGTTTCAAGACTACGGATGCAATGAAGCTAAATAACGGTCAGATGATGAGGAAGCTAAATAACAGTCAACTGAAGCAGTGATGCCGATCCCTCAAAAACTCTTGTGTTATCTTCCTACAGAAATAAGTCTTTGATGTGGTGTATAGTTGTGTCCTGTTTAAAGACTTAAGAGCTACTTGTGAAAAACAACAAACTTCGCTTGTGTACTCATAAATTTGAATTCCTCATCAGTTATATCAATAATTCATAATAATGGAACACCAACAATTGCAAACCTTTCAATATTTTCTTTACAGTTTTCACTTTTGAGAAATGCACATTTAAATGTACTTCCCTACTTGATTCAACTCAAGTTTGGTATGACAAATTGGTCACTGGTCTTGAGTTGGATGTTGTATCTTCCACAGCTTATCGCTCATGTAAAACTTCAAGCTTAGCTCTATTGATTGTTGCATGTAACTGTCTAGGAATGTTACCAGCTTGTTTTGAATTGACATTCAAGTAAAATGACCAAAGAAACAAATCAATAGGCAAGCTTTGCCAATGCAGTCATCGTAGTGAGAGAGAACATATTGGAATCTTGATGGATATTTCAATACTCAGGTAAGAGAGAAGAAACATTTCGGATATTGGGCCTACTCCAAAGCCCACAATCTAACAACAAATCCAAAGCCCACAAATGTTAAAGAGGTAGAGAGTGAAAATATCAGCATAAATACCTCCCTTATCCCCAGGAATGTCTAAGCCCTCTCCCAATCCAAAAACCCTCACACCCTCCTAGCTCTCAAGCTAATCTCTGACCATGGCACAAACCCTAACACGTGCCGCCACCTCCACCGTCACGCGCTACCTTACTATCTCCGCACTCATCCCCAAACGCCTCCTCTCCACCACCTCCATCACCCACCCTCCTCCCATCCCTTCCCTCCTCTTCTCCCGTCGCCCTCTTACCCCTCTTTCCCAAGCCGTCCAAGCTCTCCCTCTCGTCCCCACGCGCTTCACCGCCATCCGATGCCGCGTCAACCGCTCCGGAAACTCCTACTCCCCGCTGAACTCCGGGTCGAACTTCAGTGACCGGCCACCTACCGAGATGGCCCCGCTTTTTCCGGGGTGTGATTATCAGCATTGGCTTATTGTAATGGATAAGCCTGGTGGGGAAGGAGCAACTAAGCAGCAAATGATTGATTGTTATATTGAAACCCTTGCTAAAGTCGTTGGCAGGTATTTTTTTATTGATTTTTTGGTGGATTTTTGGGTGTTTGGGTGCTGAGAAAGTGTGGGAAAATGGGAGGAAAATTATGGGTAAAGGTTGGAAAGGAAGATAGTATCTTGGGTTTTTAAGTTAGTTATTTTTCTGGGGTGCGGTTTTGTTTTCTTAAACATTGATTATTTAGTTGGATTGGGCGTATAAATATATTTTATTTCTGTATTTGATGTTCTTTGGTGCTGCTTAGACTATTTTGACATAGCTGTTTTTTAAGATTATCGTGTTTGAGTTATTTGTTATTACTCTGTGTTAGCAAGGAAGAAGCCATTAAGAGGATCTACAACGTTTCCTGTGAGAGGTACCTTGCATTCGGCTGTGAGATTGATGAGGAGACCTCACAGAAGCTAGAAGGTCTTGTTTTTAATTTTCCTTCTGTTGGTGGATTGATTGTTCTTTCTTTTCTTTTCCTGATGGAAGTTGATGTTCTCTAATACATAAATTTGTTCTTTTTGTGTCAACAGGATTGCCTGGGGTTCTCTTTGTGCTTCCGGATTCTTATGTTGACCCTGAATACAAGGACTATGGGGGTAAGCCTTTCTGGCTTAAGTAGTTTTGTGAAAACTTTGCTAGTATTTGCATAAAATGCTGATTACCTGAGGACATGTGCGTCCATTTTGACATTTTCCCTTCACTTATCTTTCCTTCTGAGGTTATATGACAATATCTATTGATCTTATAGGTATATAAAGCTTCGCCACCTGCTTAAGTGCAGTTCTCATGCTGGCTTTTCTGCTTATTCTGATTATGCAATTGCATTTGTATATTTTCACTTGCTTGTTTATGTAGTTTCTTAAGATCTGTAATTGCCTATCAGTAGATGTGAAAGATAAATTATGCATGGGATTGTTCTATATGTTGAATTGACCTCAGCAAGATACTTAGCATGCCAAATATTTAGCAAGAGCGTTATAGGGAATGCCTGGTTCCATATTATAGAGAACATGCTAGTCCATCTTGGCAAAGCTAAAAGCCTTATATGCAATGATTAGTTTTGAATGCTAATGGACTTATATCAAATTTCTCTCTCACGGCTTTGGGCTTCTTATTGTAGTAGGAGCTCAGATCAGTGGGGAGGAGACATTAGTATATGGCTTGCACCAATAAAAGTCGGCCAAGTTATTGTTTGCAGTATTTTACTTGGGCATTTAGTCCATCTTGGCAAAGCTGTAACGTCTTTTATGCAATGTTTAGTTTTGAATGCTAATGGACTTACATCAAATGTCTCTCTCACGCTTTGTGCTTCTTATTCTACTAGGAGTTCAAATCAGTGGGGAGGAGACGTTAGTATATGGTTTGCACCAATAAAGTGGGCCAAGTTCTTGTTTGGAGTATTTTACTTAGGCATTTAGTCCATCTTGGCAAAGCTAAAATGTTTTTTAGGCAATGTTTAGTTTTGAATGCTAGTGCACTTACATTAAATGTCTCTCTCACAGCTTTGTGCTTCTTATTCTACGAGGAGCTCAGATCAGTGGGGAGGAGAAATTAGTATATGGTTTGCACCAATAAAAGTGGGCCAAGTTCTTGCTTGGAGTGTTTTGCTTAGGCATGTAGTCCATCTTGGCAAAGCTAAAATGTCTTATAGGCAAAGTTTCGTTTTGAATGCTAATGGACTTACATGAAATGCCTCTTTCATGGCATGCTACATGGAGCTCGATCAGTGGAAATGAAACATTTGAATGCTAATCTTCTGCATTCATTATTGTCGTGCTTCATGTTTCATATTTGGGTTCATTTCAGTTATTGAGTTTCTGTTACAACATTTGAAAAAACGAATGTGATGATTTCCTTATGAGAGTTTCCTGCCTTTCTTCTTTTCTCATCATATTGATTAATGACTAATGACTACGGATGGTGTTTGATGTTGCAGCTGAATTGTTTGTTAATGGTGAGATTGTTCAGAGACCACCTGAAAGACAGAGGAGGGTGGAACCACAGCCCCAGAGAGCCCAAGACAGGCCAAGGTACAACGACAGGACTCGTTACGTGCGCCGTAGAGAGAACATGCGGTGAAACAGTTGATTGAAAAGGAAAGATTTTGTATAGAAATGTTAGAAGTGGTTAACTTTTGTGATGTGTTGCTGGACATATGGTGTGATGTGTTGCTGGACATATCGAAGTCTTGTGATAAAGAATGTATCAGCATTTGTAGCAGTTATTTTACTGAACTAAGATGTTCTATGCTAGAGTTCTGAACTTTATTATTGTTGCTGCATGAAATCATGCTCAGTGTAGAACTCAAGTTTTTTATTTCCTTCATGTTTCCCTCTATGTTTCACTGGCACGATTGATGGCAAAGGTGGCCCGGAGTAGTCTTGTGGTCTTGATATATCTCCCGTATCATAAATGGTTTAATACTCTTGTTACGTAAGACGAAAGAAAAAGGGGAAAGAAAAAAGATGTTTTTTTTCTTTTAAATGAATTGCAAATATTGATCATTTCACGTTGACAATATATTAACACTAGAGAATGGATAAAATTAAATTTATAAGATGAATATGATAATTTTAATTTTTATAATTTTTTTTCTTTATAAATGAATTCACCTTGCCTACAGTCCAACTGACAAAAGCAATATAACTCCCTCATCAAACTTTCCCTTACAAAAATGCAATTGAATTTTCATAAAAATGCAAACAAAGAAAAACAATTTACGGCAAATTTAAATTAAACAAAATTACCAAAGCAAAAAAGAAAAAGAAAAAAAAAGGGGGACAAAAAGAGCTTTCCATTCCTGCCATTTTTTACGGATAACTATATTAATAGTTAGTTTCTAGGTTTTCGACCGGGGGCAAGGCCAGCTCTACCACCCTACTCGTCTTGTCTCAGCCTCTACCCACCTCCGTTTCTAGCCCAACTCCTCCCTTTCTCAAGGTACAACCTTTTACTTTTCTTTCTTTCTCTATTTTCCATCTGGTCTCTTAGCAAATTTTTGTTTTTTGAAAGGATGGAACTTTGGGAGAAAGTTTTGAATTTTATTTGGCTTGCTTCATTTCTTTCTTCTGGGTCTTTATCATAATTTCATTTCTGTATTAGAAAAAAAACTTTATAGAGTCGAATTACTGGGTTTTTTTATGTATTATTTTGTGTGTTCAAGAAAATGGTTACTTGGGTCTTAAAAGTTAAAAAATGCTTGGGAGTTTTTTTTCTCTCTCTTTGCTGTAAAACTTTGCTTGGGTTGTTATGTAATTGTTGTACCAATGAGAATGTTATGAAAAGTCTCAACTTCTTTAGAGACAGATTGTGATTTCCTCAGAATTCTGTATAAACAAGGGGTTCTTATTTTATTTTATGGTGCGGTGAACAGAGAAATTTTGAATGCTTTTATCAGATTTTGGCATTGAAGCTTTGTTGTGCTATTCATCTTGGTATAGGGCTGAATGCTGTGTTCTTTTGGTGGATTGACAAATAAGAAGTATAGTTAGAATACTTGGTAAGATGGGCAGATGGAGTCGGCGTAAAGAAAAACATGAAAAAGGTGGTGAGCTCCCACAACATGATTCCCATGAAGGAACTTCTGCCCGGACAAGGCCTTTCAGCTATGATGAGATTATGTTTAAGAGGAATAATAGAAAGCTTAATGAAAATGCTGAAAGTGTCAAAGAAGGAAATACAGAAGTAGGGAAGATAGCAAAGGTCAGTGTAATCCAGAATGATTCTAATGTTAACAATTCTGAAGGAGGACACAGACATGGTAAAGATTTTTCTCCTGGTGATGGAAAGCGTTTACCAGAGGAATTGGAGAAGAGAAATTCCCACAAGAAAGGAGAGAATGCATCTAGGAGAAAAGATAGCCTGCCTAACCAGAAAAATAGGGAGAACCTTGCGTCGGAAAAAAAATTGAAGTCTGAAGTGACAAAAGATATAGGTGTTAAGGATGAAGGCAAATATGAGAAACAAATCCATGTGAAGAGAAAAAATGAGCGACCAGCTGGTGGTTTTGAAACTATAGATGCTAAGAAGCATTCAAGAGATTTAGTGGAGAGGGATAGACATGCAGGCAGAATGGAGGGAAAATATGAGAGAGATAGCAAGAGAAAACATCAAACTAGAGATGATGAAGGAAATAGAGAAAGGAATACTGCAAAGAAACATGATATGCAGAAGGGGCATGCTTCAGAAACTATTGAGAGAAAGGAGAAGAAAGAATCATCGAGATCTCATTATGAGGAATCACACCATAAAAGGAGGCGGTCACACAGTCGAGAGCGTGAGCACAGGCATAGAAGATCTATTTCACTATCTCCACAAGCACACAAGCGTGCATCTTATCATGTCTCAAAGCATGAACCGTTCTCACATGGCCCTAAAGAGAGGTCTGGAAGACAGAATTTTGATGACAGGAGCAGAATGACCAGTAATGGTTCAAGTGGTCACCATAGGCGACATGGTGGCTCCACAAGTGGTCTTGGTGGCTACTCTCCAAGGAAGAGAAAGACTGAAGCTGCTGTTAGGACACCCTCCCCAGCTTATCGTTCGACAGAGAAGAGAACAGCTAAGTGGGATCTTGTGCCTGCAGAAGCAGAAAAGATTGTTTCTGGTTCAGTTTCTTCCAATTTACAGGCATCAAGCCAAACAGTTTCCTTAAATATGCATGCAGTAGTCAGTGCTGTTCCTAGTGTTTCAACTACAGGGAAGCCTTATGTTGTGTCTTTGACAAACTCTTTATCATCAAAGCAGAATGTCTCCGTCGACTCAGTTCAGCTAACAGAAGCTACCAGGCCTATGAGAAGGCTTTATGTAGAAAATTTGCCAGCTTCAGCCTCTGAGAAAGCTATTATGGACTCCTTGAATAATTTTTTGCTCTCATCTGGCATTAATCATGTTCCAGGAGCCCAACCATGTATTAGCTGCATTGTAAGTCTCTGATTTATTGTTGAATGGTGTACATTTTACTTTTGTTATACATATGAATGCAACATAGGAAGATGTTACGCCTTACAAATCTTAACTGCAGATACACAAAGGAAAGGGCCAAGCTCTTGTTGAATTCCTTACACCAGAGGATGCTTCTGCAGCTCTTTCTTTTGATGGCAGTATCTTCTCTGGTTCCATTCTCAAAATCAGACGGCCTAAAGACTTTGTAGAAGTGGTAGTACAAATTGAAACTCTATTTATTTAATTATCAATCTTTGTGGACATTTTTTTTTCCGGATTAAACAGTTTTATAAATTTCTTTTTTGTTTATATTTGATTTATTTATGAACTATCTTTGGAAATCTCTTTTGTGGAATTGATGATATTGTTAACATGGAAAATGGTTGGCTCAAAAACTAAAAGGTATATTCTTATTAAACTGAGGTTAGATGACTAGACATTTGTTAAGTAATCTGTTTTTGTAATTATTGTTGTTGACATATTGACCGACGGAGAATGTCATCTGAATGCACTAATTGAGTTGTGAGCAATTTTATGTATTTATTATTTGGTACGGTACTTGGATCGTATTGATTAGAAGTTTGCAATGTTTTCAATTCTTTTATCTTTCTTCTGCAGAAGTAATTATGATTTTCCTTTTCTTACAGTTAAGTGTGAAATCGTTAAAATGTACCTTAATTTGATTGGTTTTTACAATGATTTTACTTAGCTTTAGTTTTACCCTCTTTATATCCATAAGCTAAACACTTTGCATTATAGCACACTATTACAATGGAAGGGTATTAACTTCATTATATTATTCCATTACAAGGAGCTGAGAGTTAAGAGGCTAGCTACAACTAGCACAAAATTTGGAGATCGTACATGGTCTTGTTTACATAGCCATTTCCGCTCATTTGCCTATATTATTTTTAAACTGATGAAGGGAGATTAAAACAGTTTCATTTTCAATGTTTCTGTACATCAGGGTGCTTGTTTGCAATTCAGAATTTTGTTGCACTTTCAATCATCAATAAATCTGGATGATTTTTATATGCTTTGCCTGCATTTATCTTGTCATAGATAGAATCATTTTAATTCAATTAGTGCTTTCTGTTCAGCCAAAAAAAGCTAGTACATTTCTACTGCTTGGCTGTGTCTGAGGTATATTGTGGTTACCATCGTAGCAGGTTTTCAGACAGTTGCTATTTTCATGCAGACTGGTGAACTGGAGAAGTCGGAAGCAGTCACTAAAGTCAGTGATTTTGTGAAGGATTCACATCACAAGGTATGCATCAATAGTTGAAACCTCCACTATACTTGGCAGTAAAATGACTTGTATTGTATTAGTATTGAAGTATTACAAGTCTTTGTCTAATTCGTTTTTATCTTTATTTATAGCTGTCTTGCTGCCTTTTTTTTTTGGGTGTTATGTTACCACCCTGCACCTCTGTTTGATGGCATTTAACTTACTGCAAACTCTGGTTTTTGTGAGAATCTTTATTTATTATTTCTTTTTCCTGTGAGCTTGGTGCAGATCTTCATTGGTGGGATTTCAAAGGCTCTTTCATCTGAGATGGTAATATGATTTTAAAATTCTCAATCCTGCCCAGAAATTAGATTTAGAGCTCTTGTGTTCCTTCTTCGTCTTCCTCCTCTCTACTGATTTTCCTTTACTCTTCTGACCCTTTATCTCTTTCTCATTTTCATTTCTAGCTTATCTCTCTTTTAAACTGACTAGGATTTGTATGCTTTTTTCAGCTTGTGGAGATTGCTAATGCCTTTGGTCCTTTGAAGGCATATCACTTTGAGATCAACGAGGATCTTGGTGAACAATATGCTATTCTGGAGGTAACATGAAATGTATTCACTTCTATTAAATGCTTGTTTTTGTGAAAATAAGTATCAAACCAGTGTAGCTGTTCTCCCTACTCTTTTTCTTATTTACTTCTGTTCTTTCCTTGCTCATATTTTCAATTCTTTTCTTGTATGTGTATAAATGAATCTGCCCTTTTTAACTTGAATATCTGTTAACTTAATACATCAGTATGTAGACCAATCTGTTACTCTCAAAGCCTGTGCTGGTCTGAATGGAATGAAGTTGGGAGGGCAAGTAATCACTGCAGTTCAGGCTGTTCCCAATGGCTCATCCTTGGTACTACTTTAGAACTGTTTTTTTTTTTTTTAAAAAAAAAAAAGCTTCAAAGCTGTAATTTTTTCTCATTAGCCTTAATGTTATGTGGAGATTTGTACTAACTAGAAGAAACATGTCCTAGGGAAATGGCGGAGACCGACAATCCTGTGTTATCCCTCAGCTTGCTAGGCCACTTCTTCAGAAGCCTACTCAAGTCCTTAAGCTTAAAAATCTGGTAAAGTAGACAACTTAGATGCATTTGTAGTTATGTTGGTAGCAATCTCATGTTTTGAATTCTGAATATGTATGCTGGACAAGTTTATTTCTGGTCCACTCACTAATGTTTTATCTGAAAGGAAAATGTGTTCCTTGTCATAATCCTTGTCCTTGTTTTTGTGGCTTAGTTCCCAGAAGACTTTTCATTACTATCTGAAGCAGAGGTAGAAGAAGTACTAGAAGATGTACGGTTAGAGTGTGCTAGGTCTGATGAAACACGCCCCATTTGATTGTTATCTCTTTCTCATGATCATACTTATTTATTGGGTTGATCTGAAATATATATGTTGAACCATCAATCCTGCAGGTTTGGTACTATTAAATCTGTTAATATTGTCAAGCATGCCAACACTATCATTGCCACCGGAGATAATGAAATAAATGATAATACAAGGGAAACTGGGGCCAGGCTGAACCTAGAAAATGATGAAATAAATGTTCAAACAGAGACAATGGAAGAAGTTGCTGATGGAAAGTCTGGAGGAACTGCTCGGGTAAAATTTCCAAGTGATGCTCAAGAGGAAAAGGCTGGCGACAGCATTAATGATGAGAAACCTCTGTGCAAACTTGTGGACAATGAGTCATGTCGACAAGGTGAGTTTGAAGGTAATATCAATAAGGAAGACCTAAGCCATGAGAGCTTGGATACTGAGCCATGTCTGCCTAGGGGGCTTGACAGCAACATTGCTGCTGGAGCTCACGTTGATACTGAAATGGCTGTTGAAGATCTGGCCTCGGAGACTGTAGCCATGACAGTTTCTCAAGAGGTTCAGAAGCTGATGAATGCCTCAAAAGAGGAATCAGATTATTATTCTGGCAGGAATGCTGAGAATATTAAAAGTGAAGCCATCAATGTTGACGAGATATTAGCAGCTAAAGAATCAAATCTGGAGGAAGTTGATGGAAAGTTACCAGAAGGATGTCCTAATACTGAGGTGGCTGTTGAAGATCCTGCATCTAAGAGTGTGCTAATTTCAATTTCTCAGGAGATCCCTAGGATGCCAAAAACCCCAAAAGAGGAGCAAGACTCTCAATGTGACAAGGTTGCTGATAATATTCAAATTGAAGTCATAAATGTGGAAAAGAAATTGGTGCCCAAAGAAGATCTGGAGCTGAAGGAAGTTGATGGAAAGTTTCCAGAAGCTGTTGATGTTTCTGCTGGTAGTGTGAGAATAGAATCAGATACTATTGAGAAGGATGAAAATAGGGAGAACAATTTGCAACAAATGTTTGAGCCTGGCTGTGTGTTTGTTGAGTATAGGAGAATAGAAGCATCATGCATGGCTGCTCACTGTATACATGGACGGTTATTTGATGACCGGATTGTGACAGTGGAGTACATTGATCCAGACCTTTACGGGGTGAAATTTCCAAAATGAAATGGATCATTGCAATTGGAGATACACAATTGCTTCACATGACCTTTAAAACTCCATGCGTCCCTATTTTTGTAGTATGTTCATCAGCATCATCATGCTACATTGGAATTTTGCATATCACTACAGTAGGCCGTGGCCATATGACACTAGAGAATCTTACTTTGACTAGCTTGGCTTAGAATTTTTTTCAGAGGTAGATTGGCTACGACTTGTCCGAACTCTTTAGTGCGTGTCTGTGTAGGAAAGGACCCTTTGTATTTAAGGGACCGGATAGATCTATCCGACCAGCTTCATGGTGTTTGCTGCATATACCAACTCTCTGTGGACCCAAAACTTCTCCATGTACTTTTATTTGACATTATCATTGTAAAAGTAGATATACTACTGATGCTTGGACGTTTGTGTATTAAACACTAGCACCTTTATAGTCTCGTAAGGATAGGGCTTCTGAGTCTTTATTCCTTTCATCACCATTAATACAGGGTTAATCCATGATATCTTTGATTACATTGCAGATTATATTGTTAGACATCACACTTCCGATCAATGGAAAATGGCAATCCTGGTTTAGAATTTTGTATATACAATAAAAATATCAGATTCGAGTATAATTATTTCATATAAATCAATTTTATATTTCTGTTTTTAGTATTCTTATCCATAAAATTAGAAAAAAGAAAAAATATTTTATCTTTTTTTGGAAATATTTATTTTTATTGTTGGATGTGGAGAAGGTTACCATCAGCTAGGCTTGGTGTGCTTGGGTTGTGACTCTTGTATCTAAAGGCCACAGCCCAAATAAAAGAAGGAAAGCAAAAATCATTAGCCACACACTCTTTTCTTTTTCCGTCACAAAAACAAGACAGATATACAGTAAAACTTAAACACAGCCAAAGCAACAATGGCAACGTTGGCTACTTTGGGAAGTATTTCAGTTCTTCGATTTCAAAAACCAGTGCCTCCAAAGACAAGGCCATCTTCACAACTCCTAGGCTTTGTTACTTCCCAACTCAGTGGAGTCAAAATCTCCTACGACATCCCGGACGTGGCACCTATAAAACCCATATCCGCACCTTTCACTCCTGCTGTCCGGCCTCTTGCTCGTAAATCCTCTGCCTCTTTGCTTTTTACTCAGAATTTTTGTTTATATTATTTCAGTTTTATGATTAAATTTCTGGGTTGGTTTCAATTGTGCCCTTTGTTTTTAGTTCCATTATGTGAAATTTCATTGTTGATTGAAAGTTATCAATTTTGTTATGCAAGTGGGTGTTTTTAGGAGATGGGTAGTGAAATTTTCAAAAAAGAATATCTGGGTTTGTGGGCTTGGATGCAATGTTTAAATGAAAATGTGAACTTCATTACACATAGCATGGTAATTCCAAGTTGGAATCGGTGATAGATTAGAGTTTGAGAGAGTTGGATGCATTTCCTTCTGTGTGAGTTGTTTAATGTATTGTTTTCGGATGAATTTTGAGTAGGCGAACTTTGCTTTTGTTGTTATATTTGGTTTGAAGAGCAGGTAGAATTGAGTGCTGGTGATTGGTTAAGTGTTACCGACCTAAAGGGAAATTTATGGCTATGTAGTGTAGAATGTTGATTATGACTTTCCCTGTGGAATTTAGAACCAATCGAAGATGAAAATGTGATGGCTATTTCATTTGGTATTAGTGTTGAGAATGTAGCCTTTTCTGTAAATATGGCCATCCTCAAGCATTATTATGTTGATTTGGATTAGTTCCATTTAATTGATTGGTAGAAAGTGAAAAGTGATTCATAGCTTGATCAATCTTTGCAGGCAGAGTATGCCCTTTCACTGGAAAGAAAGCAAACAAAGCTAACAAAGTCTCTTTCTCGAACCACAAGACAAAGAAATTGCAGTTTGTCAACCTCCAATACAAGAAGGTTTGGTGGGAAGCGGGTAAGCGCTATGTAAAATTGCGTTTGTCGACAAAGGCATTGAAGACCATTGAGAAGAACGGACTGGATGCTGTTGCTAAGAAGGCTGGGATAGATCTTCGCAAGGAATGATAATGACCAAATTTTTAGATTCCAGTGGTAGTTGGAGAATTATCTTCAAGAAAACAAAAAATTGTTGATAAAGCACTGGCAAATTTCTATTCTTTTCCCTTTATTCTCATTTCCTCTTCTATGTAATTTTTTCTAGCCTGATAAGTTGAATCCTTTCGTTCAAATGCAAGTATCATGATTGTGACCAGTAGATATGTTTGTGAGAAGAAGGCCGAAGTTAGTTTAGTTTAGAAGATAATTTGATCCTTCTGTTTTCTGCTTCCATCTTGCACTGGATTGCATACTATAAGTGCTCAATTACCATGTGTGTCAAAGAGGAATCTGTGTTATTTTTCTTCATTGCTTGAAGGATGAGGCATATGTCACAGATTCAGACATAACTAAGCTGAGAGGGTTATGCTTGGTTGAACATTGAGACTTGAGATAATTGCTTATGAATAGATACAATTTCATAGTTGAAATTCCAGTTGCAAAACTCTATATCCTTTCATGCATGATTACAACTAGATAGGCAGTTAAGCCAACGGAGAAATGCCATCAACTTCCAACAGGAACCATGCAGGCCAACTCATCTTTGTGTGTAACCAACTATAAAGGGCAATTTTTTTTATCTTTTCCCCTCGTCAAGTAATCAGTGATGAGAAAAAGGTTGATTCTTATACTAAAACTAATTTAAACCTTGCTTTGATACTTTCCCTAATAGTTTTAACTATGTCAATATGTAAAACATAAACTTGGTATGTGTTTCCCCAAATATAACTACACTTATGTATCAAAACAACCTGCATTGATCAGGAATGGATATCTAAATGTTAAATCACAAAAATATGCCATTTTCCTTTCATTTTTTTAACTTTTTCCAAATCTATGCTAAATAACCTAAGATGTACAAAATCACATGTCCAATATCTAATTTACATACAACAATTCAGACATGGCTAACAGTGAAAAAAAATATGACCGTAAAGCTGCTTATCTAAAGGGTTCAATTGGAGCAGATTCTTCAAGAAGAGCAGCAGCCTCAAAGCATTCAGCAGCCTCTAGGGCTGATGCACTAGCATCAGCCTTGTAGAGCAACCCCAGATTGTACCAGGCAGCAGGGTTTGTTCTGTCAAGTCGAAGTGCATCGGTCAGAAAGCTTCTAACTATGGGCATTGATTGGCCACCAAGCTGTCTGAGGATGCAGGCAGTAGATATTAAGCTTGGAACATGTGTGGGTTCAACATCTAATGCCTTCCTGTATGATCTCAGAGCTTCTTGGTGGAACCCCTTAGCTTCATTAAGTAGACCTAACAAAATCACGAAGTTTTAGCCATCATAAGGTGGACTGGCATGTCTCAAAATGAATTCACAGGAGAAACCAAAGTTTATACTAATACAAGATGAAGAGATGAGACTTAAATAATTCCAAGCAATTTTGTCTTCCCAATATTTCTGTGAAGAAGAACTCTTAACATGCTTTAAGAACAGAATGAACCCATTAGATTCATCAATTCCATAAAGAAGCAAGAGGTTTAAGAACAACAACTGCCAGCAAATATATCATGTAATAAACATTATTAATCAAACGATCAAGAACCAGATTCACCAATAAGAGATACCTGTAGAGTACCATCTAGAAGCGGAAAAAGGACTGATAGCTTTAGATTTTGACAGACAGACCTCAGCATCCCTCCATTGTGACAAGCTGGTGTACACGTTAGCTAGATCATGCCATGTTTCCATTTCCAAGCTTCTATCCCAGTTTCCCTTGGTCTGTGTGGAATAAGAGCAATTTATCCAAGAATCATTTAACGGACTTCTGGTTCTATCAGTTACATGCTAGTGAATATCTCTCTCCCAATATTATGAAAGCTTTCCATGGTTACACAAAACACATGGATGATGTGGTTAATATCATTTCTACACCAGTATGCCTGAGGATCAGAACCTATAACACATTGTCATTCCTATTGAATCATAATTATCATATCAAAAAGTACCCCAGTTTTATGCTACAATCCATTCAACACAAACGGAACCCCTTGCAGATTTTAAGTGGCTCAGATTAACATGCAACTTTCTCACACTCACACTGAAAACAAGCATAAGGTTTCAAATATTTTTTACTCTACTTAGTCTGATGTTTTGCATGGATCTAAATTTCAGGAGGATCTATGGCACAGTAGGCCACTTGTTTGTTTCAGAACTAACATGCTGGAAGGAAAAAAGTGAAAGATGCTCAATAATCTCTTTACTACTTGATTGGTGATAGTACTAACCAATAGACACTTAAGATTACTATAAAAATTGATGAGAAATTTAGGTACTTATCTCAAAGTGTCAAGTTGTTCTATCAGTTGCAGAGGAAAGTCAAATTATTGATTTTTCACTTCCCAAAAATTTCAACCAGATTCAAGTTTATCCTTATTGGCAAAATTCAACTTCAAAAGAATAAACTTAACAGCATGGTATGTGCAACCTACCTTTAGAAGTTTCTTCCCACCACCTGAGCTTTTATACTGAACTTGGAGAACAGCAAGAAGATGAGTGTATGTCTCAACCGCATTTTTTAACTGGTTCTGTGCAATCTGAAGTTTAGCTTTGGTTCTCAACAGTTCTCCTTGGTCCCACTTCCCACTTTGGTCAAGTGCAGCGTTAATTACTGTCTCTGCATCGACGAACCGTTTTTGAGCAGACAATATCCGAGCCAAAAGGACATATCCTTTAACACTAGACCCTGCTTCAAGTTTCAACAGCTGCTTTGCATAATAAAGTGCAACATCCAACTTCCTCTGCTCAGCATTTTCTAGACAAAGATGGAATACAATGTAGGGATCCCTTTCTGTCATCATCTTTTCTGCAGTTTCCAGCACCTCAATTGTTTCAGACTGCTTCAAAATCCTCTCAGAATCAGAAGAAACCAACCTAGACTGAGCTGACAATAAAACTCCCAGTAAGCAGTTAGCTTTGCTCATCATCTGCCCACATCTCCCATTCAATCCAGAAAGTGCTTTGCAAGCCCAACTTGTTCCTTCTTCAATACAACTCATATTCTCCCCACAAATTTTCGAGGCTAGCAACAATTCCAGAATGCAGTCTGGATTGTCTCTGCTATTCAAAAGATTCCGCAAAAGATTCAATGCAACTATGTCTTCACCCTCCCCATAGTAGCAGAGAGCCAAAGTAGAATATCTTTCTTTTCTTTGCATGATCTCTGGATGCAACTCTTCAACCTGATGAGCTATGGCTCTTAGTTCCCCTGAAACAGATAAAGCAAAAGCAAGATGATCCAAGATTGATGGATCCCATCCAATCCTTTTGAGAACAAATTTTCTCAGCAGAAGTAGTAATAAAAGAATAGCCTCTTCTATGTTGTTTCTTGGCACAAAGGAACCTTCCATCTGCGAACGGAGGTTTGGAGGGCTTGCATCGGCACCACTGTATAAAAGCAACAATGCAAATTCCTTTTCTAGTTTTGATTTGGTTCCCATATCAAGATTCCAGTAGTAGAGGAGAGCCCGCCGGTATGACAAGATAGCTTCTTGGGGATCCCCTGCAAGTTTCCACAGCTCCGGAAGCAATTCAACAGCTTTGTTAAGAATTTCCTGTAATTTACAATCTGTAGAGTAGTTGTCGGAAAGGCCCTCTGGCAATGCAGATTCAACAGTGTCCAAAATAACTTTGCATGAATGAGCAGCTTCTGTAAAAATATCAGGAAAAAACATATAAAAAGATGACTATGCAGTTATTCTTTTAGCTTCAACATGTGAAAAGAAGTTAAAGGGCATACCTCCAAACCTTCCAATATGCTGCAATGATTTTGCCTTCAGAAATATAGCTTCAAGAAGTAAGCTAATAGCATGCATAGACATGGCTGGAGCAGCATCACTTTGTGAGCGGCGCCGATTTTGTTCACATCTTCTGGCAAGGGAGACTTTCATCTTGGAAGTCACAGCAGCAACATCTATTCCTTCAAATACATGGAGTGCCGCTTCTACATTTCCTTTTTGATACTCAAGCCTTCCTAACAATGCCCTTGCTTCCTATAAATTAAAATAATCTCTTAGCTAAATCTAAGCACTGCAAATTAGTATACCATGGATATTGCCTGATAATTACCCATTCTCCCATATCATTGTGAAGGAATTCCTTTAAATGTCAAAGATTGAGAGAGTATAAAAGGAAAGAGAGCTAAAGCCAAGAAGACAGAAAAGGTGAAAGCCAACAAAGAAGCGAAATTTAGATGTAACCAACCTCGTAGTTTAGATAACCACTCTCCCGAAGAGATGACTCTGCTTCTTCAATATTGCTGTTGTCAACCTTTGTTTCCACCATCTCACCAGGTCTAGACGAGTAACCACTCACTGAATAATCCCGAGTCGCTAGGGACTCAGAAGAAGCAATAGTATCATCAACTCTTATCTGCTGTCCTGACCAGATGCACTTCATCATCTTCTGAAACCTCCCTCGAACACTGAATCCCCGCTTATTTATCCAATCCTTAATTGCCATACCGTTTTGTTACACTTGAAATCCTTCAACAATAGCATCAACATAGCCAACCATCCACAATTAGGAGCATTCCAAGAACATAAACATATCATAAAATGTAAGCATTAGCACCTCTGATGTATTTTCAGCTTGTGAATACAAATTAAACTGTCCAGGAAACTCAGGAGACAGAAATGCTCGATCATCTACCCTAAAAGGAAAGCAAATTATCCTTCGTATGCTAAAGAACCATAGATGAAACTCTTGACAAGAGATTTAAACCAAATTTTAACAATTTTCTAAATACTAGAAGCACTTGAGCTCTAAAATTATGAACCCAGAATCCCAAGTCAAAATCATATGTTGAAACAAGAAAAACCCACCTATTTTCCTGCAACCCAGGTTGAGAAAACCATCATAACCACCCAGTTACTGGGCTTAAACAGCAAATTTTCTCATCGAAGATAAAGAGTGCAGCAAAATAACAAAAAAACCCAGAAAACTCAACTGAAACATGATGATTCATAGCAATCCACACCACAAAAAAAAGAAATGGAAGACCATGATTTGAAAGGTACAGTTGGTGGTAAAATACTAGTGAAAATAATCACCCATTACATCATCATACAAAAGAAAAAAAAGAGACCAGATGGGGTTAAAAATAACTAAAAAAAAGTACCTTTTCATAGCCAAAAAATATTGACCGAGCCCACCAGACACCCACATCACCGTGCATCTCCACAATTCACCCAAACAACGAAAGTGTCCTTAATTTTTCACTCGCACTGCAAGAATCCAAAGCCAAGTCTATCAACCTTTTTCCCTCTCCTGTTTACCTTAGTGCTGAACTTCTATGTTATGTTTTAGTTTTGGAGTTCTTATAGCGAAGGCATGAGTGTAATAAATTACGAAATCTAACACTGTACCAGCTGGTTCTTGTCTTAAAGATGTGAAGGAAAAGGAAGGTTTTCATTGCTGAGAGTAATAATGAATGTACCATTCAAGAATTTCATTTTAAATTAAAATATAAAAAAGTCGGTTTCTTGAAAGGGATGTCCCTGGCCCAGTTTGAAATCTTCTCCTCACCTTGGTCAGTTGCTGGCTCCATAGTCCATGCAGGCTCTCTCTCTCTCTCTCTCTCTAGCTGACCGCCAATGCTCTTTTCTTTTTAAACATAAATAAACCATGTCTTTGGTAAGACAGAGCTTAGCTTATTACCTGACAAAACAAATTATCAAGAAAAAACTTGTTATGGATGTTGTTCTGTTGCTTTGGTTTCAATCCAAGTTCCAACCATTGCTTTTGCAGAAGAGATAGAGTAAGACAAAAGTCAAATCTAGTGTAGCATTCTTTTTCGTAGTTTACTCAAAAGTGAAGAACGTGTTCCCAGCAAATGATATGGTAAGCTCCAACCTGGCTGCAGCTTACTCTCTTTAGTCTTCGGATTAGGAATTTAGACCATCAAAATTCAAATGTGGTCCAAACTCCCTTCCACCACAAGGATCTCCTTGCCCAAGGAAAGAAAAGAAAGAAACTTCCTTTATGCCTTTCCCCTTCAACTCAAACCCCATAAGGAAAAAGTGTATATATATATACTTTTGGCTGTTTTTGGCATGAACCCAGATTCTGCTGGATAACACTCTGAGATTTTCCTTTTCCATGTTGATCAGAACTACAGAATGGGGAAAAATTTTAGGCAAGAAGTGGTAAATGTGAATATGTGATGAGTCAGATGCCACATTCCAGGCTTTCCAGCACAAGAGAAGTATATATGCCCTGTAAGTCTGCAACTGCTAGTAGAGGCTACCTTTCTGGATTGTAAATTGTGTAATCTATTTGCAAACCAGCTGACTTCCACAATTGCAAAGAGCTAAACAGGACTCAAAATTAAGGGTTTGGAGCAATAATGTTTAGCCACAAATTTTCTGATATCAACATTGAAACCTAGTTATAAGGCTCAACCAAGATTTACTGTGTGGATTAACATGATATTAAGTCACATCATATATATTGAACCAGGCATTAAGAGCTGTTTTTCCATCATTAGTTAAAAAAAATGGTACAAGTTTTTTGTTCTTAGCTTTCCTCTTCACCGACAAATCATGCCTGTGGTAGCCGATGGCTCAAAGCTGTGACAATACTTCCAATTAATTCCAACATTGGGTATGTGATAAAAGTGCAGGCTATAATTTGGCTTCTGCCAAATTTAATGATTACTGTCGACTAACAACCATTCAATGCCCACAACTGGTCTGCAGAAAGGCAACTACCATTAAATGTTACTTTTGCTATTGTTTTGACCATTATTGTCTTCTTCTCATCTGGCTTGCATTACAAATATAAGATCAAAGTTTAAGCAATCTATTAGATTATGGCAATTCATTGATTTGTTAAATATGGTTGGTTTGCAAATTACATTACCATTGCTGATAGTAAAAAACTAATTGCGGAAAGAAGAGAGATGATGCATTAGTCATTGAATTAAAAGTTCAGAAATATTATTGATATTTTAATGCTTTTGATTTTCATTTTAACAACAATTGGTTAACCTGACTGATCAGAAAAGCTTCGTCCTATAGAAAGAAGTAAGGGGAGACATAACAAAAGGAGGGTGCATGGGATTTGGAAAAGAGATTATTAATTTATTATTGTTATTATTTATATATAGTATTTCAACAAAATCGTTCATATGATTGCACGAGAAAGATAAATAACAACATTTAATTAAGCATGCGTTCATATTGGACTAATAAGAGAAATTTGATCCATGCATGCATGCATGCGACGTGAAGCTTAGCTTTAGTGGTGTCCACCTCCAAAACCACCGCCACCTCCAAATCCACCACCCCCACCTCCACCTGCACCTCCAC